TTTGGTTTTCACCACCCATGTATGATGTATGATCCTGAATATCCTCTTTGTCTTCTACCATATGTACTTTATTTTGCTTCATTTTCTGCTTGAAATCTTTTGTAAAAAATTTTATCCCCCCCACCCCATTTAACTATGCTGTAACTGTCCAAGAGAAATGCTTGATGCTCCTCTTGATCCATAGTATGCTTGCTGCAGCAATAGTGGCATCTGAGGGTCTGGGTGATGAAATGCCTCTGTGTTTTGTTTTGAACTGTGTGTGTATTTCTATTTCTTTGTTCAGCTGTTTCTTTGCCTTGAAACAATTTGCTGTTAGCCTCTGAGTGGCTAGTGCTTTCCCTTGTCAGCTCAGCTTCTACCATTTCTTAACTCCTGCTCTTTACTTTTAGCCTCTTACCCCTGGCAACTTCTTTTTTGGCTTTCATCACCACCACACACACAATCTTCAAAGTTCAAACTGTACAAGTGGCAGCCAACTGCCTCTGATCTGTCCTTCTTCTGTCTAACAAATAATTCATATGTAACATTCTGAGATGGCTGGGAATATTTCTTCAGTGAATCTGTGACCATTATTTTTTATATTGGAAAGCATGAGTTGCAGATGAATTTTTTTATTTCTTTTCCATTTCTTGAAGGTAAGGAAATAATCCTACCTTTCCAGTTTAGTTGCAGTTTAATTGTTGTCACATTGTGACAAAGATGAAAAATAACTGAACATGTAAACGTGGGCAAATCTGTTCACAGAATAAGCATAGAAAATGCCAAGCAGCCCTTCCCCTCTGTTTTATCTATTGACTTTTCTTCCTATAAGACCAGGTTATTTTTGCCTTCATGAGCTATTCAGGCTTGAAACTTCGTGATATTGAGTTGCTCTTGGCTTATTTAATTGGTTTAAAATATTTTATTTATTTAGCGGATGCGGTTTCGGCATATTGTTTCAACCATCTCAAGGCAATGTCATCACCAGTGTGAAGAGCTTGAAGGTCACCAGGTAGCATAGTAAATGGACATGAGTGAACAATGTGGGACATGGTTTGCATTTGTCCACAAGGGTGTTTGTTGTCATTGTGAAGGCCCCATGGGTATAGGTTTGAGGCGCAGTGACCCTGTCCAGTTAAAAAATGGTTGAGAAGTGCCCAGTAATGGCATGGACAGTTAAATCCTGGTTGACTGACTGTAGGGTCAGATATGATGTGGTGATTGATTGGTGCTTGTGCTGACCATTCTTCATGCCATTGAGTAAGGAAGGAAAAGTCAAAGGGTTTTGAAAGGGTGGACCACATTGGGCATCTTGAGGGGAGCCAAGCTATTGTCTCAGTACAGTGGCTGTGTAGGATTATCCCAGAGTCTGGCTAGTAAGTTTGCTTTAGCATTTATGCAGTGGAGATGAGGGGGAGCAATGTTACTAAGGCCTGGTAACCATGAGAGGGGAGTGGAGTGCAGTGTGCCTGATATAAGATGCACTGTAGCATGCAGTTGGGTGTCCACTAGTTTGCTGTGCAATGAATAAGCCCACACAGGTGCGTAGTATTCTGCAACTGAATAACACAGTGCGAGAACAGATGATTGTAGCATGGAGGTATTGGTATCCCAAATGGAGCCTTCAAGTTTGGCAAGTAGGTTATTCCTTGTTTTGATTTTTAAAGTGGTTTTCTGGAGATGTGATTTATCCATTAAAATCTGGTCAAGATAAAATTGATGGGTTTTGAATTTGAGAACCTGACCATTTAAGAAGCTTCTTGCAAGTAGTCTAACCATCTATGAAACTATTGATGCTACCAGTGGACCTTATCAGACAACTGTCAGATCCCAGTCAATAGGCTATACATGTCAACAGTGTTTCTGTTAGCCAACCAGCTGGCTTTTCAGGCTGTTGGCCCAGTGTTTTGAGTCCTCCTTTAAAATATTAAGATATAGACAGAACTTGGGTATCATAATTCAAGGTCTGCTTAGCAAGTAGCAGAAAACTTTATTTAGCAGAGTGTGCCAAGCTAAAAAACAGCCACTCATTACCTCTTGGAATTCAGTTTCATCTTTTGACGGAGTGCATGAGCCTAAGAGTTAGGCTAGGTACAGACATTCAAAAAGCCTGAGATGGAATCTAAGTTACATGGTTCACTCTAAGCATCCTAGGTTAGATGAGGTTTGAACAGCATACACATTCACCCTATAGTGGGGGGGATGATGGGAGGGGAAGTGCAGGCTGTC